TAGGTTTTCTTTTACAGATACACACGTATATGCATGCACCTGTAATTTGCAGTAAACCACGCTAATGAGAAATTTTGAGTGCATCTCCCGTTTTCTTTGAAGAGTTGTAACCTCCACTTTAGTCTATATCTCATAATTTCCCCTGCAAAATTCATTTTATCTGTCTTCCTTAGTAAGAAGAACACCAGTATTATAGCTGGGCAGTACTACCAATGTTGGAGACTACAGTTCCTATCCTCCCAAATGGTTAGGTTGAGCCCAAAGGACAAAGCTATGGTTTGTAAAGCTGTACGCTGAAATAGAGCCCGAGAGTTAGAAGGGAGCAGGGTGGGCATTTTCTCCCCTTCTTTCTGCTTCCCGCAGTGTGGATGTATTAGGATTAGCTACAGTACCCATAGTCTTGGAGTAAGAGGCAACTTGGAGTAGAAACAATATGTGGTTGGGGTGCCTGGGTGGCTCAGTCAGTTAAGCATCTGACTTCAGCTCAGGTCATGATCTCCCGGTTTGTGCGTTTGAACCCCGTGTTGGACTCTGTGCTGACAGCTAGCTCAGAGCCTGGAGCCTATTTTAGATTCTGTGTCTCCCTCTCTCTCTGACCCTCCCCTGTTCATGTTCTCTCTCTCTCTCTCTCTCTCTCTCTCTCTCTCTCTCTCTCTCTCTCAGAAATAAATAAAACTAAAACAAAAAACAATATATGGTAGAGCAAAAAGAAGGAAGGAACTTGATCCCCAATATTTGGAGTTGTCCCATCAGCTTTTGATTGTCTATTTCTGGATATTTACATGGGGGAAGGTTCTCTCCCTATTTTTCCTCTTGTTTAAAAAAGTCATGATATTATTATTACTTAAAAACATTTTTTGGCATCGGAAGAGTAGGACCTAATCCTACCTGATAAAGGATACCATTGTTTAATACTCCATATAGATAATAGGTCAAATATAAGGAAACATGCATTATATCATGGTAGATTCTAGATCTAGGTTGCAAACAAAAGTCTACGTAGAGACTGGAGAGAGAGAGATTAATTGGTATTGAAAGGAAAATAACTTAAAATGATACATAATCTCTGGATGTTTTTGATGGCAGTATTATTGGATTTTGTTTTCAAGTGCTTTTAATAATTATTCTAAATATTGTTTCAGAAAACACTTGGTAGCATTTAGGCAAAAACAAACAAAAATATCCCCCCAAAACCCAACACAAAAATACCCCACAAAACCAACCATAAACTGTTGCAGATTACATACTGTATTATATCAGAATAATTTCTTCATGCTGTGTGAATTCTTAATATTATTAAATATCTTGGTTAGTCACTTTGACAAAGTCAACTCATAAATGTGACTTTTAATGTTCTCATATTGACGTTATTGAAAGAATTTTGATAAAATGAAAAGTTAAAATTTTTTATTACTGTAGACTTGTTTTAGTATTGATTCTAATAAAGTATTCATAAATTTAGTGAAATAAATGAAGGATACACATTTAAAAAGTCAAAAAAGCCTTTTTTGAGAGTACAAGTAGGGGAGAGGGACAGAGGGAGAGAGTGACAATTTTTTTAAAATTTGAGAGAAAGAATGTGAGTACAGGTGGGAGAGGGACAGGGAGAGGGACAGGGAGGGAGGGAGGGAGAGGGAGGGGGATAGAGAGAGAGAGAGAGAGAGAGAATGAATATGAATCACAAGCAAGCTCCGTGGTGTCCATACAGAGCCGGATGCAAGACTTGTACTCAAACTGTGAGATCATGACCTGAGCCGAAATAGAGTCAGACACTCAACAGAAATAGCCACCCAGGCTCCCCTGAGAGAGCGAGAGAATCTTTTTTTTTTTTTTTTTTTTTTTTTAGGATTATTTAAAAAAAATTTTTTTTAGTATTTATTTCTTTTTTTTCTTACAAATAGTTTGTCAAGTTCGTTTCCATATAACACCCAGTGCTCATCCCCACAAGTGCCCTCCTCCATCCCCATCTACCCCCTTTCCCCCACACCCATCAGTCCTGAGTTGGTTCTCCGCATTCAAGAGTC